AACCCTAAACCCCTAGACCCTAGACCATAAACCCTAAACCCCTAAACCCTAAACCCTAAACCCCTAGACCCTGAAACCCCTAGACCCTGAAACCCTAAACCCTAACTAAACCCGAGCCTAGACTCAACTTACAGGCCCGGAAACCCGGACCCCGAAGGTCCGGGGGTAACACGATAGCCTAAAGACTAGAAACCCCCTAAACCCCAAAGTGCCGAAGCGTTTTGGGCTTAGATTATGGGCTTTACGGTTTAGGGCCTTAGGGTTTAGGGTATACGCCCTACTATACAATAATTCCTTCCGAAATGTTTACATTCAAAGGCCTTCAAGCCTCAAACCCCCCAAACAAACCACTGAGATAATGACACGAGAGTGCTGCACTCTTCAGATGCCCTAAGGCATCAAGGACACCCTAAACCCTAAACTCCAAACCCCAAAACCCCTCATAAACCCCATACGATCACACAGAAGTATACAAACAAAAAAAAATACAGGGCCTGCCCAGCGTCCCGTGCGTCCCGCTGCCCGCCCGGCTCTCGAGGCAGGTTTGGATTCGCGCGCGGATCTTCCGTGCTCCACCTGAGGGATTTGAACCCGAATCCCTGAACCTGAATCCCAAATAGGGCCTAAACCTAATCCCTATAAGCCCTAAAAGCTAATCCCGAGTGGCCCTAAAGACTAATCCCTATAAGTGCTGTAAACCCTAATCCCTATAAGCGCTAAACCCTAAACCCTAGAAGCCTAAACTCCCTCAAAAGTAGGTGCAATAACGGAACGGCCCAACATCGGGGGGTTCAGGTGAAACCTGATCTCTGGAAGCCCTGAACCCTAAACCCTAAACTCTAAGAACCCAACACCCCTTGATTAAGGCATATACCTTAAAATCATAGTAGTAACGCCCCTATAAATTCAAGGTGTATTCCTTAGTTAAGGTGTATTGGGTCCTCTGGGAAACTCTAAGGGAGTTGGGAAGCCGAGCTTCGTGGCGTCGATGGTTTGAATAACTCCCAGTATCAGGGTTGAGCTGTCAGCTCCGGACTTCCCAGCCTAAACCCCTGAACCCTAAACCCTAAACCTTAAACCCCAAAACCCAAACCCTAAACCCCAAACCCAAAAAAAACCTAAAACTCCTTAACCTTATAAGTTCTAAAGTACCCAAAAAGCCCTAAAACTCCTTAAACTTATAAGTTCTAAAGTATAAGCTGCAAAGGCCTAAACCCTAAACCCAAAAAACCCTAAACCCCTTAGCCCCTAAACCTCATAAATTCTAAGCCCCAAAGCTTAAACCAATGTTGCCCTACACCCCCAAACCCCAAGAAACCCTAAACCCTAAACCTTATAAGCTGCAAAAGCCTAAACCAATGTTGCCAGTTGGGAAACTCCCAGTCGAAGTCTCACAACCCCGGGGGTCAAGGGTTTAGGGGCTTAGGGGTTTTGGGCTCTAGGGTTTAGGGTTTGAGGTTTTAGGGTTTAATAATTAGTGTTTAGGGTATACCCGAAAACCTAAAGCCCCAACCCCGAATCCGAACCACAAAGAAAATCCTAGGGCTGAGGGTTTAGATGTTTAGGGTTTCGGGGTTAAGGGTTTAGGGGCTTTGGGGGTTTAGGGCTTTAGGGTTTGGGGTTTCAGGGTTTAGTGTTTAGGGTTTAGATGGGTTTAGGGTTTCGGTAGCCCGAACCCAACAGAACCCCCCCGAAGTGCCCCTTAACAGAGCCCTTATGGTCCTGTATAGTAGGTATGTGCTGTATGTGGGTAGTTCTCTAAATCAGGGTCCCTTTCAGGGTCCCTTTTAGTGTCCTTCTTTGTAAGGGTGCCGTACTGTATTTGGGAGCCAAAAGGTGACCCGAATGTAGAGGGTAGTTGGGGTGTCTAGGAGCAGAAACCCCCTATGATCCCCTATTCAACCCTAAACCCTAAACCCTTTTCCGTGGCTCTGCATATGCCCTAGTGAATCCTTGCACTTCTGGCCCACAACATGGGAGAGCTTTGGCATTTGGGGCGCTCAGGGGTTTCGGGCAGGTTCGGCGGGCTCATCCTGCTCTTTGGAATCTGTTCAGGGTTTAGGGTTCCGGGTTCCGGGTTTAGGGTCTAGGGGTTTAGGGGTTTAGGGTTTAGGGTTTACGGTGTAGGGTTTAGGGTTTAGGGATGTGAAAATCGGAAAATAGAACCTCTTTCTGGAACCCTCGTAATCTTCGAACCCTTAAACACTGCCTTATCCAAGCACTCATGCAAACACCCTCACATGGCAGAGGCCGAAGATTTAACTCAGGGTTTATAGGGTCTAGGCCAGTTCAGGCACGGTTTAGGCAAATCTGGCCTCCCCCACGGCTCTTGGCGCCCGGCTCTGTTCCGTGGACAGCGTGGGCATCGGCTTCCTTCTTGGCGGCTCCGTTTAGGGGGGGGGTTCAATATAGAGGCCCATGGGACTCGAGAATCCCAAAGGCCCCAAGTGACTTCATAATCGAATGTAGGGTTTCTTTGTTAGGAATCATGATTATGATTAGGGAAAGAATCCCCATAACGGTACGCGGGACCCGCTGAGAATTAGGCTGAGTCCTTACACATTCTGGAGGTTCTGCAATGTGCTGAAGGTGTACGAGGCAAAGGGCTCCAAGCGTGTTCATCAAACCGACGTCCTCTTCAAATCCTACGGCTGATGATATATATCCTGCATGAGCCACAATAAGGAATATACCATAATTCCTATAGTTTATCGTCCTTAAGGTAGTGCAGGATTTATATCATCAACAGTATCTCATACTCCATAGCTCCAACATGCCCCGAACAAAAACCTAAACCCAAGACCATATACCTAACCTTCCCCCAAACCCGGAACCCTACCTAAACCCTACCTGGACCCGTAAGAACCTCTCTCGTTAGGGTTCCTTATTATGACTTCCTTGTATTAATCCTTAAACAAGTTGGTTGTTTGGGTCTAGGTAAACCCTAAACTCTTAAGCCTAAAGGGAAACTTAGCTATGTAATACCATCCCCCAATCTTGCCTGCGACGATCTGATCCGGAGCTGCTGCGGCGATGAACAGCCACCTCAAAAGTTGCTATTAGGGGGTTTAAGGATTTTAGGGATAGGGACGGTAGGGTTTAGGGTTTTGAGGGTAGGGCTTTGGGTTTTGGGGGTAGGGTCGGTAGGGTTTAGGGTTTAGGGTTTAGTAGGGGGTGTGGGGTTTTGGGGTTAGGGTCGGTAGGGTTCGGGGCCGTTGAGGGTTTAGGGTTTCAGGGTTTCGGGTCTACCCTCTGGGTCGGTAGGGTTGAGCATGCAATAGTGGAAATAATACATCCCCTAAAAACCCATATGGGAGCTTCCGAAACTAAGGGGTACCTTTTTTGTGGGTCATTATAATAAGGATCCTACTATGTAGGGTACTAAATTGGGGCCCATATCCCATTCGGGCACAATCAATATATATATATAAATGAATCTGCATTCTGTGTCCAGCTCGACGTCTTGGGGTTTCGGGCCTGCTGTGGCCTAAATAATGCCCTACACCCTTACCTTAGGGTTTAAGGTTTATAGGGATATAGGGGGTGGATAGGGTTTAGAGACTATAGGGCTTCGCTTTTTATGATCCCCATATATGGTACTCATTTAGAACTGGAGGGTTTTGCGGGGTTTGAAGGTCTGTGACTAGGAGTCCAGGGCGTCGCATCGTGTTTCGGACGTAGGGTTCGGGGTCGGGAAAGAAGGGCGTTTGGGGCTCCAGTTATGCGTGGCAACTTGCAAAAATTTCAAAACACAGATTGTGTCGTTGTAATTGGTTTAAGGGCTGGGGACTCGAAAACTTAAAGTTCATGAGGAATAACCTGTTTTTTATTGATAGGTTCAAGTTTTGCTGTAGAACATCCTAAACATCTCACACTGTGCATATCCTGCGAATTTGGACCCTCAGACCTCAAAGGCTCAACTACCCTTTTAAAGCCTTCATCAGTTCCAATGCCTTAAACCGATTTGGGCCATGGCCCGCTTCGCCGATGTAGCATCGCCTGCGCCTGAATCAGACGACTTTGACGGCTCAGCGTTTCAGAGACTCTACATGGTTGTGACGGCCTTTGGTAAGGGATCTATAAAGTTGTAAAGGTTGAACGCTCAGGGCCTTAAGAGATTGGGCTCGAAGGGTGCGAAGAGAAGCTGTCATCAACACTAATCGTAAACTTGGTCAGATGACAATCAATCATATAACGCAGCTCTTGTATGACAGTTCTTGTCAGATATCTTTTTTTGCATCATATTGCGCAATGGGTTAAGGGCCGGAGAATTGATTTTGCGGTGTTTCGTCAACGTGTTCCTGTGTTTTCTCAATTCTCTTCGTAACGCAGCTGGTCTTGGCATTCTCAACTT